GTGTGGATTAACCAGCAGATTTGCCCCTGTGTGATAACGTCCTAACACTGTTGTACTTCGGACAGGGAAGACTCTTTGGAAAAAAACCAAAAACACTAATGTTGGGAAAGGTGGAGGGAAGTAGGAAGAAATGAAGGCCACATGCCAGATGGATGGACTCTATTGGGGGTCACAGGTATTAAAGGTTTGCAGGAATTAAGCAGAGCAGTGGAGGGTCTTGGAGATGTTTCATCCATAGGGTCACCATGAGTCAAGATAGACTTGAGGGCAGTTAACAACAAGAGACATTTAGATTTCTCTGTTAGAGAGCTCTGCTGCCACAACTACAGTTCCCAGAATTCCATAGCATTGAGTCGTGGAATTTAACATGGTGTAAACCTAGATTATTTCTGCAGTTTGGATGCAGAGTCCATGCTTCCTTCAGTTTTCTATTTTTAAGTAATGCCACTCAACTTTCTTCACAAGTGAATTTTTATTTCCTTCTTTATGAATTTCTCCTTGCCATCCTTCCCTGTTCTGAGGGAGAGTGAGCCAGGTTGGCCTCTTTGAAAGCGGCCAGAAATTGAGGCTGTCCTACTTTGGTCAGGTAATGAGAAGGCAGCACTCACTGGAAAATGCTAGGACAGGTAGAGGGATGCACAAAAAGAGGAGGATCACTCAGTGGTTTCCAAACTTTGGTCCTCCAGATGTTTTGGACTTCAGCTCCCAGAATTCCTGACAGCCAAGCTGACTGTAACTTCTGGGAGCTGAGGTCCAAAACACCTGGAGAGCCAAATCTTGGGAACCTCTGTGCTAGGTGGTAGGAGGAACAGCTTAGAGAGCTGAGTATATTCAGCCTGGAGAAAAGAAGGTTAAGGGGTGATATGATTGGGCTGTTTAAATATTAGATGGGATGTCATATTGAGGATGGAGGAAGCTTGTTTTCTGCAGCTCCAAATAATAGGACCAAGGGCAATGGATTCAAACTTCAGGAAAAGAGATTCCACCTCAACATTAGGAAGAACTAACTTCCTGACAATAAGAGCTGTTTGACAGTGGAACACACTCCCTATGGTGGTCTCCTTCTTTGGAGGTTTTTAAGCAGAGGCTGGATGGCTTTGATTGTGCCTTTCTGTATGGCAGAGAGTTGGACTGGATGTCCCTAGAGGTCTCTTCCAACTATTAATTATTCTGTTATTCTGTGATAGATTCAATCTATCATGAGAGAGATCACTGGCCTGAATCTACAAGACTTAAGCAGATCAGTTAAACACAGGTGGTCCTGGAGGTGCTTCATCCATCATGATTCGGGGTCGACTGGAGGGCAGTTAACAACCACAACAAAAGAGGACACCCCAGGGGAGAGAAGCCCACCTGAGGAGGGGATGGGGGGAATGGGCTTCCCACTAGGCTTTGCTCTTGTGCTGCAACTCCCAGGATTCCATAGCTTGGAGCCATGGCAGTTAAAGTGATATCAAACCGGATTATTTCTGCAGTATGGATGCACTCTTTGTGCCACAATGAATGAGACAAGAGAAGTGGCCGCACGTGCTGGCCAGGGCAGGGCTCCTTTCCAGGCTCAGGGGTAGCTGTGTTGGCCATTTAGCAAATTCAAACAAAAATCCATCAGTGATACCTTTTTTATTGGCCAGAGAGAGAGTGAGGGACTGCTTAAGCCTCGGCTTCTTTGGGCCTTTGCAGACTGCCAGAAATAGTGTAAATTGAGTCCACTTTAAGGGTTATGGTTAGGGAATCATGGGAACTGTATTTTATTGTGGCACCAGAGCTCTCTGACAGAGAAGGCTCAATGTCTCAGAAAAAAAATACAATTCCCATGATTCCCTAGCACTAACCCTAACCCTAAAGTGGACTCAATTTGCACTATTTCTGGCAGTCTGCAAAGGCCCTTTGTCTCCCTCTGACCTCGAGGAAAGTCCGGGCCTCCCACTTTCCATTGCCAGCCCTTTGGCTCGGAGCCTCTGCGAAACTTCTTGGGAGTTAGTTGTTGGCGCAGGAGGGTGGCCAGGCCAGGCCAGTCCTAACAGCGAAGGAAGGAGGGGAAAGGGGGACCAGGACCTTCAAGAAGGATGGAGGAGGCGGCCAAATACAAGCTAATAAAAACACTCATAGGAGCATACATTCCTGCTTTTTAGTCCTACTCAGAATGGAGGACATGTTGGAACTCCTCCTGGACAGAAGGTTGAAATGGAGGAGGACATGTCCCGGAAAAGGAGGACACCTGGTCACCCTGGACTTGGCAGGGATGAATGTGCCACAAACGCAACAAAAAGGCTGCCTTCCCCCCTGGTCACCCTGCTCCCTCCCAGTCCCTCCATTCCCACTTCCCATCACGCTGGACCAGTTTTGCACCCAAGCCTGCGAGGCAACCCAGGGATGGGTTTTTTTTTCCTCCCCCCTTGGGGGGGGGAGAGATCCTTTGACAATCAGGCTTCTTTTAGGGCACAGAAATGGGGTTGTTTGTGGAGCAGTTGTTGCGTTGTTGCGTGCCTTCAAGTCGTTTTCCACTTCTGGCGACCCTACCATTAGGGTTTTTCTTGGCAAGATTACTTCACAGGAAGCTTTCCCTTGCCTTCCTCTGAGGCTGAGAGTGTGTGACTTGCCTAGGGTCACCCAGTAAGTTTCCATGGCAGAGTGAGGAGTCAGACCCTGGTGTCTCAGGGCTTTTGCAGACTGCCAGAAATAGTGCACATTAAATTGAGGCCCTGCCCTGGCTCAGTGCTAGGGAATCATGGGAACTGTAATTTATTGTGGCACCAGAGCTCTCTGACAGAGAAGGCTCAATGTCTCAGAAAAAAAATACAATTCCCATGATTCCCTAGCACTGAGCCAGGGCAGTGCCTCAATTTAATGTGCACTATTTCTGGCAGTCTGCAAAGGCCTTCAGTCCTATTCAACAGAGTCCTATTCAGACAGGAGGGTGTTGTGGTATAGCTACAGGTTGTATGGTTGTATGGCGACCTTCTCTTTCTTGGCAACATTTCTTCAGAGGAGGCTTGCCATGGCCTTTTCTTCCCCTGAGGCGGAGGGCAGTGACTGTTAATATGGCAGAGCAACAAGAAGACCCAGGCAAAAGGCTCTAAAATGTGTGTGTGTGTGGACCTTATCCCACGCTGCTGTAAAAGTGGCAAGAAAG